GGGTGTTCTACTCAACAGGAGGCGTCCATGGGCCATCCAGCTGCTTCGAGCCCTTTGCCAAGTCATTCGCAACGCTGTCTAAGCAAGATCACACACAAACTGCTGTCAACTACTCGGCATCGAGATCTCAACAGTAGAACAAAACTACCAGATGACATTTGGAGAGCGAACTTTCAATGAGGCGCTATCGCTTCGACTTGAGAAAAGAGAACTCTGCAGGATTCCCAAGGAATCATGGTGGATACCACTGCACAGCAGCATTCAGTGTCATGCACATAATCCTTGTGTAGGACACATATTGGGCTGGAAACAGGTCTATCCTGTAGATTCTGCACAAGCCAGCATGCAAGTGCCAGCAGTGAATTGAAGAGTTCTCCCATGAAGTCATTGTCAAACGCTGGAGGGCGTTCAGAAGCAACACCTCCATCAAGGCCAAATCCATGTATGAATGTACACTGATTACTTCCACTCCCTTCAAACCATTGTTTCTGGCTGACAGAATCCTGACAAACTCATAACACCTTGCAGAATCCGAATGCTGCAGTTACATGTAACATTGGAACTCCCATAGCAAGGGTGGGCCATACCAAACGGAAATCTGTCACTGGGGCAAGTGCGAACCTTGAGATGTCATCTGTGCCAGTCTGTTGAATGAATCCCTGACAATCAGCTTGTGATCAAAAGCAAGCATAGGCAGGGCACCCACATCAAACCACTGTGCATCTGCAGCATCATCCTGGAGCACCACAACTCGATCTCAGGGACTTGGCATACAGCTCCAGATTGTTACCCGAGGCACAGCGTACCACAATTGCATTGTTGATGATAGTTGCAATTAACGTCAAAATGAAGGAAAATTTTGCTGCAGTTGTTGCAAAGTTTGGCAGTCGTCGTGACAACTGCCCTTCATTCCATTGACTGACTAACAATGTTGGTACATGCAGTGTGTCATTACAATCTCTCACACAGTGTGCCAAACTAACGAGAAGTGCAACGATTGTGAACCCAGCTCAATTGTTGTCTATAACTGATGCAGGCAGAGAAGGAATCCAGAGGAGATTCAGCAATGCGCCTTCTGTCGGAGGGTGTGCAATCAAGAGACACCATTCGAGCTGCACTCACTGCTGCCTTTACGCCCAGCTGTGTCGCTGAGACCATTGCTGCATATGCAACACTGACAGTCCATCCCCGTGGATCCCTACCAGGGTCCCCGTACGCTCCAACCTGTGCAGCAATTCCATGGACATTCATTTCCGGATCAACTGAACACAGCTCCGTTATTAAGAAAGAGCTTTCCAGGATACAATGAGAACGGATGGGCAAATATCACACTGATGCGAGGACCCTGCGGCCACCATTTTGCAGTGAATATCCAGATTGCTGGTGCTGCAGTTTTGTGGAAAATACACACTCACTTGGACCAGTTGCACATCTCCTGGCGCCACACCCGTTTCCTCCTGCAACTCGCGCTGAGCAGCGTGCAGGAGCGGCTCCTTCTCATCCACAAAGCCTCCCGGCAGAGCCCACTGGCCCTGCGATCCGCGCACAAAGTTCATTGGTGTCTCTCCGCTATCAAGCGCTGCAGAACAGCAAGATCTGAAATGCCCCACAGGATTCCTCCACTCCAAATGGGAGCTGCCCCTCACCATGCATGGTGGATGCTTGCGTTTGATGAGCAAGAGCTTGGGGGGCGCACCCTCAGCAACTATCGCGGCGTCCACAGTAAGGGCCGGCCTCGGATATCTGCCAAGCCAGCCAATAAGTTGGCCGCGACAGGACACCCAGAGTGGCATGGGCATTGTCTGACAATCGCATTGCGGCTTCTCCTCCTTAATTTCTTTGGCTCCCCGGAAGGCTATCAATTTGGGTCTCCAAACGACCCAACACTCGATGCACAAGCGCAAGACGCCACTCGAAACGCACACGCGTGCGACTCACTGGTAGCTGTAGGCGTGGCTCATCCGCACACAACGAGCCGCGCGCGCCAGATAACGGCGCACAGCAGTGCTTCCAGGTGCCACCCAACGCACCTGCACTGCAACAGACAGCATAAAGCAACAGGCAGTGACGCTCTCTGAGCTGCAGTTGCGGGCGTCGTGAGGACTGACTGACAACCTTTGGGCCAGTGGTTTGATGGCTCACGTTTGTTTTAATCCAAAAATGCAACTCCTGACTACCTTAGGACCAGAAGGTGCCGTATTTTCCACCATCTGGCGATGCGTCAGCGCGTCATGCGGGAAGCGCGCTGCTGATTGCGCGAGCAATAATACTCAACTATGCGAGAACACACGTGTCCGCCAAACTCCACGTTTGCCAACATCGTGGCACAGCATTCAGCCGTCAAATTGTGGAATGGGCGACGCCTGGAAGAAAGCGGTAGAGAAGGCTTCTGTTGATCTGAGGGTGTCGAGAGCCGGAAGGCCCTCCTGCGGCATTTGCATAGGCAATTCAATGCTCATCTTTGCCCACATGTTCGCTGGCTGCTCATCAATTCCGGTGCCCAAACCTGTCATGTGCTGACTGGCATGAGGGTCAGTTTGCAGTGGTCCCGCTGCGCCATATTGAGGGAAATGAGGAGCATTCACCGTGCTACGTTCAAATTGCACATTACAAAAGGCACATACGCATGCTAGCCACAACCCAATCAATGTTGTCTGTATCAAAAGGGAAGACGCTATTTTGAATATTGTATGCCTAGCGTCAAATTGACACACAAGGTGGGTGTGGGAGTGGTGTGGTGTAGTGGAGTCCAGTCATTGAAGCTACTAGAATATGGAATTGCACCAATTGTTGATCAGCGGCAAATAGCTCATGACCTGTTTCAAAACCTCCCTCAAACTTTCAGTCTTCGAAAAATCTTTAGAATGGATCAATTTTCAGGGTTTCGGGCTGCTCTCTACCATGGCTTTTGGCATCCAATTTTTCAAATCACTGCAATCTCTACAATTTTGGTTATTCTGTCTTCCTGATATTGTTTTGACGTTGTACGGCCTTGTTGGGTACTGTTGCTGAGTCATCATGGCATCGAAATAAGGATTGATCCTGGGGGCGGGGGGGGAGGCAGGAGGCGGCGGTCTGAGGTAAACGTCACATTGACGCTAAGCGTACAAAATTCAAAGTAGTGTCTTCCCTAAATTGCACTTTGTGTCGCAGATCCAAAGCAACAGCATCAGATGCACGTTGGATATTCTGCAAGGCTGGAAGGGGGGTGACGCTTGCCAAGTGGTTTGCAGATTCTCAAGGTTCACGGACACCAGAAACCTCAAAGATGGGATCAATGCGCTGATCCCTGTCTGGGTCGATCTTATGAGAGAGCACTTATATATAGCAAATGTTGGCGAGAAGAAGCATGCTCTATGAGCCTCACACAGCTGGATTTCTCTGATCAAACAACTCTACATGATTGACTGAGACGTCATCGGCACAGCAGCGCTGTGCATAACATCAGTTATGGCACAGCGGCAGGGAAAAGTCAGGAACAATGGTTGCCATGCCCTGGATCACTGCTTGCCGTCGAATATTGAACACGAGCCTATGCTGTCCCGTCGTGAACAAGGCTTGTGCCAGCAATGAGTTTAAGCCCACCTCAACCCATCTACAAAACTCCTGGTGCCACACGTTGCAAAGAAACATAATTCATCCCTGGAATCTCCAGCTATCTGACTGCCTCTGCAATCCCTCACCTACAGCCACTGAACAAGTATTCTTCATGCGTTGCACAGCCAGAACGGTAACCCAGGACAGGGCGAGCAGCACGGAATCTCATACTGCCATTGAATGGAATGCCACTTGCATCGCAACCACCAGTTGAATTTCGTTTCTGGCTCAGCGTACTGCTGACACTTTCCACATTCCTTCCCTGCAGCTTTGCAGTTCCTGGTTTCCTCTATGCTTTGACCCTTGGGCGAGAAGCGGCTGCCTGAAATTATTCCTTCAGAATCATGCAGGCTGACAATGGTCCTCGCCATTGTGATGGCAGGCCTCTCTCTTATGTGCAAAGAAGGGAGAGCGGTGCACCAGGATTCCTCACTCTGGACAGGAGGCATAGGCGCTTGTCTAGTTCTCTGCGAGAACGTGTCAAAGGACAGAATTGCATGCCTGTCCTCACAAAGCACCAGAGACACGCCAGTTGCATATACGAATAACAGCCCGTGCCAGTGACAAGAGCACCTGATCACCTACAGATCAATTCGAGCACAAACCACTGCTATGATTAACAACCACATATCCTGTTCACAACCATCCGATCCGGCACCTGTTGTGCGTCAGGAGCGAATCATGGCAAACCTATACCAATGTATGCACTGTCATCCACCTAGTCCCTTTTTAGCAGCCTGTCAACAGTGTACTTGCCAGCACCAAAACTCTGTAACATTATCAATCCTCCAGAGACTGCCAGGTTTGTCACGAAGTGAGCCCGAACATGTGACTTGTAGTGCCTGCCACATTGATGTCAAAAAGTTGGTGACGAGAATTTCAACAAAATTACAACCAGAGACACAGAGACATTTTATACAGTGGTAATGCTACTATTGCGAAATTAGCACAGGCAGTGCAGCCACCAGCATCCCACCAACACGGTCTCCACAACAAGCAAGCATGCCATCGGCATATCCTCAGCTGAGCAAGTTTTCCTTTCTCAGGAGGTGCCCTTTTCTGAGCAGAACAACAGCTGTAGTTCAGCCACTATCCACCCACTGCTACATCTTACCATGTTGGCCATCTTGTTGACCAGAAAGGCCAGCATGTGACTGCTTCAAGGGCAAGAATCAAAGAGAGGCCTCTGGAGACGATCTGGCATCAAAGGCACAGACGTTGCAGTTTAGGCATGTGGCAACTCGATACACAATGAAATTGTAAACTCCAGTGAAGCACGATTGAGGTGTTTCACTGAAAAACACAGATTGTGCAGAATTTCACAAACGAGCATGTACCTGCCAGGCAAACTCGCCTGAACTTCAAAACAGAAGGTATGCAATGCAAAACTTTGCATGAATGCCTGAATGGCCAAGCCTGCATTTGCCAATGAACTACCAGCAAAACTGTGCAGCATCTTAGTCCATACAAATGGCGGAATCCATGAAGCCACCTTGGCAAGAAGTTGGAGCGGCAAAATTGTTGCTTACTTCTGTCTGATACCCCACAGCAAAAGGCAGTGACAGTGCAAACTCCAGCAGTAGCCAATTGTTGTCATGGCCATCTTTGATGCCCCAGTGGTCTCGGCCCTTCTTTCGCCACAGCGACCAGTCCCTTGCGAGCACTCTGCGTATCTGGCACAGATATACCACACAAGGCAGACACGTTGGTACTTAGAACGCAGCTTAGTGCCAGGCCAGCTGGGCCTCTGGGCCTGCATTGTTCCCCATTTACCAGCTGAATAAGCCAATGCACAGCATTTGGGTTGTAGATCGAGAGCCGGCAGGAAAAGCAGCTGGTGGACTGCAAGCCATACCTGCACATACCCAACGTACACAAATAGCACGGCCATCAGCAAACGGCCAAACAACAGAGCAATTGACTTCCTGTGTCCAGGGCCGTCGTTGCTTTTCGACAAGAGTGGACCTGCAAAAAGAGCACAACAATGCATTGAGAACCGCAATGTGCTTTTGCTGAAATCAATTCTGCAAACACTACCCGATGGGAACTTGCGCTCAAAAGAACGAACTCAAACGTGGAAGTGTTGCATGCTGGGAAGTGGACGCCTGCCGTGCATAGGCACGTCAACGGCGAAGCTCTTGCAACGTGCAGGAAACACGGTGCCCTGGAGGCTGCAATGCAGCTCTTGCAGTGCATACCCGCGTAGCTGGTCAGCTTCTTGTGATTCTTCACGGAGTTGGCAAGCACGAGGGCAGAGCACCCGACCATGGCCAGCCGCTTCACCATGAGCTCATTGGGCCGACGGCCGAAGAGGAACAGCATCTTCAGCCCCGTCCAGATCATGCTGGCGCTCTCCTTCAGCATATCCAGCAGGAGGGCCGACGCCGTGATGGGCACGTAGTAGCCCAGCGTGGCCAGCGCGGCGCATGGCAGCAAAACGCAAACGCCCATCCAAGGGAAACTGGGCAGGAAGGACTTGCGGTTGGCAGCGATGAATCGCGCCCGCGACTCCGGCTGGTTGAGGAACATCCAGGACTCCAGGTCCTCGTAGACGAGGTTCACGAAGTAGAGGCAAACGAGGGCGCGCGCGAGGCCCTGCGCGAAGGCCCCCGTGTCCACCTTCTTCCACAGGCTCCAAACTTTCCTGCCGGCGTCGCGGGCATCCTTGCTAGACGCGATGTCCCGCGCGACGTGCCTGGCGTGCTGGAGGTTCTCCGCCGTGGCGGACTCCGCCTGTCGGGCAAGGCAGGGAGCCTTGAATCCAAATGGCCAGGCGGGGCATCAAAGGCGGTCGGCAACGGGCCCACGGATAGTGGCGGACAACCGGGATGGGCGTCACGGAAAACCCTGATCCCGGAGCGCTCTTGGCATTGAGATACAACATCAGCACTCCAGAAAAAGGTGGCCCGCGGTTCCCACCTTCTTGCGTATCTCCTGCGCCTTCCTCAGGGCCTTGGCCTTGAGCTCGTCAAACGTCCGCTTGTCGAAGCGCATCGACTTCGCGCCATGTCGCTGGGCCTTCCCCAGGACGTCCTCCACGGACACGTCGCCCCTGGAGCCGCCGGCCTCCATTGAGCTTGCCGCCTCGGGGCAAGGCGCCGCAAGGGAACGTTCAAAGCCCAGGCGCCCAGGTGGCGACGGGGGGGGGCTGCCCTCTTCTACGATCGTGGTCAACAGGCGCCAGTGCCAAGTACTACTGGGCGCTTGGTTCGCAAGGAGCCTGGGCCGTGTTGCGAGAATGCCGTTCTCAACTTGACAGCGGACTTGTTGCCACGTGTTTTTCTTCTTTTTTCAATTCCATGTCACGTGGGGATGGCTAATAAATAAATGATAAAAAAACACGGAAAGACTTCCATGAAGGACCCCAACTGGGACAGGTTGTCAGGCAGAAAAATGTTGAATGCGCCGCACCAGGGGAACCACTGCAACTTGTGGGCGTCACTGGACCTTGGCGGCATGTATGGAGCATATGGCTATGGTTCCTTGGTAGATTTTCACGCTCCACTGCAATTGTAAGATAGTTGTTGCATGGCCATTGCGTATGACTGCTGACTAGGCAGCGGCTGAGTCACGGCCACGTGTTTTTTCTCCTTTCAAAGGTGAGAACCAATCCAGAGACCAAGGCCGAAAGCACTCAAAGACAGGAAGCAACCAACAAAGATTCCAGCCAAAAGAACACAAGCCACTTGGTATTGGCCCGCGCCACAAATTGGGCCACAAGGCGGACCACGAGATGTCCTAGGCAGGGTACCAACACTTTCACCACTCTCTGGACGCTCCCTCCGAACACGCTCAGCCTCCCACAGAAATGTAAGGCGTCCCTTCAAGGCAGCGATCTCCCTTGCCAACCTCGCCAAAGGGAGACTATCCCTAGGCATCAATGATGCCAATTTCCGCCAAACGCTTGCAGCGATCCTCTTCACCGAATGCTCACCGTGAACTGAAATGTCAATGGTGAGCAAAACCGTGTTGATCAACACTATAGTCAGAAAAACACAACTAAGTGTTTGCCACAACTCCCAACACTTTTTCTCACACCACAAACACACTGCAGCACTCTCCTGTTTGATTGGCTGCCTCACGTTCACCGCCAAGAGAGACCAAAATATCGTCCGGATACAAAATCACCTCCAGGGTTTCCGACTTTCTGTCCCTCTTTTAAGTCTCTCAGGACTTGACCATGAAGGCGCAGTTCCCAACTCATGTCCCAATATCACTCCACCTCACGGCAGTGCTCCTCAGCTCGTCCAACAGTCACCAACTCGTCGACAACGTTGACACAAAGTTCGCAGCACTCGCCACAGTCAGCACTGCCAGGAACTTGAACTTTCCGGTCTCCAACTCTCGCCAAAAACGCCTCAACAACGTTAGCCAACGGTTTCTCAGGCTCACAGCCGTTTCACACACTCACACAGAGCGCAGAACAACCGTCAGCATGCAGCGCAAGCAAGCGCTCAGCACTCGAGGTGCAGCGCTGCCCGTCACACAGAATTCTGTGTAGGGCCTGGCCTTTCGCACAATATTACCGCCTTCGACACGTTCCCAAAGTCGAGCGCACGGTGCGCAGCAACCTGGACGGTCTTGGGCTTCGGCCGCACGGGCCAGGAACTCAATCCAATGGTCAACGGTCTTGTTACAAGCTCTCAACGTCAACCAGTCCGGTGTCCAACAGCGGGGGTCGGTGCTGCCTCACAACAACAATGCACCCCCTATTTATACTCCCCCCCATTCACTGCCACGGATCCCAAAGGGTTCTTGGCACTACTCCAATACCATGGCCCTTCTCCTGGGCTCAAAACAAAAGAAAAGACAATCGTACTGCCATCGTCCGCCCCTTCACAACTTCAGAACCCGTTCCCCTTTCTCACACAGCTGTCAATTACTCAAACAATATAAATAGCACCACCATTCAGCAGTACTCTCTAAATTTGGTCCTAACACATCAATGCCCAGAACTCTCACATGTCCCTGTTCCTCCTTAACATCACGTCACCTCAGTAATAGCCTTATTTATCAAACCACAGCCCGTATCCTTGAAATGCACATGACTACTATTGCAATTAACACTTATTTACGAATGCATTCTCACAATCTCCGAACAACTTCCCAGTTTTGCTCCACGACTCAATGCACAGTCTGCCATCCATTCTCCACCTCCTCCTCTTGCTTCACGTAAACCTCCCTGATGTCAATGTAGTCATCTTCCGAGTCATCCGTTT